TTCAATGATGAACTGTCTTTAACTGAAAAATGAGTGTTTACTATTGTCATTTTGCATTATTGACACTATTTTCCTAATTAATGCTGTTCAGTTGCTTTGTCACAATCTGTATTGTTAAAAGCGCTATATAAATAAAGGTGACTTGACTTGACTTGACTTAATGGCTGCTGAAAAATCATCTTTGCCTTTACATTTAAAATATATTAAAATAAAAAACATTATTTAAAATTGTAATAATATTTCACAATATGTACACTGAACAAAATTATAAATGCAACACTTTTGTTTTTGCCCCCATTTTCTTTGGTTATGCAAACCGATTGTTGCAGCAGCTGTCCGGGTGGCTGGTCTCAGACGATCTTGGAGGTGAAGATGCTGGATGTGGAGGTCCTGGGCTGGTGTGGTTACACGTGGTCTGCGGTTGTGAGGCCGGTTGGATGTACTGCCAAATTTTCTGAAATGCCTTTGGCGACAGCTTATGGTAGAGAAATGAACATTCACTTCCCGGGCAACAGCTCTGGTGGACATTCCTGAAGTCAGCATGCCAATTGCACGCTCCCTCAAAACTTGCAACATCTGTGGCATTGTGCTGTGTGATAAAACTGCACATTTTAGAGTGGCCTTTTATTGTGGCCAGCTTAAGGCACACCTGTGCAATAATCATGCTGTCTAATAAGCATCTTGATATGCCACACCTGTGAGGTGGATGGATTATCTCGGCAAAGGAGAAGTGCTCACTAACACAGATTTAGACAGATTTGTGAACAATATTTGAGAGAAATAGGCATTTTGTGTACATAGAAAAAGTCTTAGATCTTTGAGTTCAAAAGTGTTGCGTTTATAATTTTGTTCAGTGTATTTTACTATTTTGATTAAATAAATGCAAGCTTGGTGTGCATATGGGACTTTCTTTAAAAAATATGTTATTAAAATTACATTTTAGCAAGACTTCCATGGCTAATATGATCCACATGCTAGGCAAACATCATACCTGCACCAGTGTTATTTTAGTATCATTGAGATACTATTAGATATTGATATAGATATTGTTAATATTTTGAATGAGATTTTATTCATATTTTCTGCTTTTATGTTAATTTAAAGTTTTAGTAATTTTGTTGTTCTTGCAATTTTTCTTAATTAGTATTAGTAGTATATTAGTTCAATTTTGTTGTTTGTAAATTTCAGTTTTATTTTTAATTATTTTAGTACATCAATTTAATCTAAATGAAAGTGAGAAATGTTGCCTTGGAGACTATAATAAAATAAGGTTTGAGTTTATTATTACGGAGTGTCTATTTACACTAAGTGCAAATAGCCCACCTTGTTGGCAGAGGCTATTTACACTAATTTCGCCCACCAATGTGTGATTGAACTAGTCAAAAGTGCAAAAGACGGCTGCTAGATGTCAGCTTCAGTGGCATAGATGGTGTGTCATAGTCTTTTTGACGCGATCAACCCAAGTTCGAACCTAAGTTCAACTTTTTTTCTTCCATTTTTAAATTTCATATCACATCGGAAAGGCATGTATTTTTAATAAAAATTAAGGAAATAATCAAATATTTGAAGAAAAAAAAAAGTATCGGGTAGGGTTAGGGTAGGTCTAGGAAGGGCTTATTGTCCCAATAATGTGGCATCCATTTAATAATTTGAATTAAAATTATAATTTACACTCAATACGTTATTATTGCATACTGTTTTATAATGTACTACATTACTGAGGTGCAGATAATTGCCACTATTTGCATTAAGCAGTATAAATAGCAGAAAATCCAGTTATTTTAACATAAATAGAATCTATAGCTATTTGCACTGTGTAAATAGCATATCGCTAAAAATACTGCTATTTTCACTTAGTGTGAATAGAATCCATTGCTATTTACACTTATGGCACCTTTCCACTGCATGGTACGGCACGGTACGGCTCAGTACAGTTCGCTTTTGGGGTGTTTTCCACTGGGTACAGTACCTGGTACCTGGTACTTTTTTTAGTACCACCTCGGTTGAGGTTCCAAGTGAACCGTACCGTTACCAAAACGTGACGTGTAAACTCTGCTGATCACGGATTGGCCGGAGAGAATCATCACTACCTGCGTCACTGAACTTGCGCCACAAACACAACAGAACTGCTAGATTTAAATCAGCACAGCCAGCGAAGGATCGAACGCAACGGTTTTAAACGAGTGCACCTTTTTTAACAACCAAAAAGTGTCTGTTTCGTTGTCTGTTGAGGAAGTACAGACGTTCCTCTCATTGATAGCTGAGGAGCGGATCCAGCGAGAGCTTGATGGGGCTACGCGGAATGAAAAAGTTTTTCACGAGTTGCGGCAATAGAGGAGGCGCAACTATAAGGACATGTGAATAATCCCGCCCACTCTAAAGCGGTACTGAACTGCAGTGGAAACGCAAACCGAACCGAGCCGTGCCATACCGTACTGAGCCGTGCCGACCCTGAGTCGTACCACGCAGTGGAAAAGTGCCATTAGTGCAAATAGCTGCTGCCTTATTATTTTTTCATTACTTTTTTATTTCAGTTAACATTTATTTTATTTCAAGTAACAACATTTTTTCTTTCTTTTTTAAATGATTTTAGTTGTAGTAAACTATAATAACCCTGACATGCACTAACTAGTTTCAACCAGCATAATCTTGATAGTCCTAGCCCTGGTCTTTTTCAGCAGGTTTAAGCCCACAACACCCTCTACAGTAGGGTGACCATATTTTAGTTTTCCAAAAAGAAGACGGGTGCGGGGGGCTGGGGTGTGGTTTGTTGGTGGTTAAAGTAGTGACCAAAGTAGCGCAATGACAATATCCAAAATATCAAAACTCAAAATATGTAATTTCCTAAAATACATATTTTACAGTCACTGTTATGCATATTTATAAAAGACGCAACTAAAAAGCTTCAGTGGCCCTCCTTCACAAAACTTAACATCCAGCACAGTTTTATCATAGAATGATAAACAATACAAGCATTTCAGTCAAATGTAAATTATGCAACATTTCAAACCTTTAACCCACGGGGGGAAATGAACTCACGACAACAGTTTAAAAGCAGCACAATTCCATTGAAAAGAAAACGCGGAAATGACAACCCTGCATCCAACACGAGCTGCAGGAGTCAGATTTGACTGATCACGGGTTGAGAGGAGAGATTGCTGAAAGATCATGCTGGAGGATTTGCTGCTCATCAGATCCTGAGCTCATTAACAAATATCTGATCTTTTATACAGAGCTCACGTGATCGCAAAAGTGAACAGCGAGCGCCCATTCAAAAGAGATTTAAATATTCTGCATATTGATAGCGGATCCCTGATGCGTGAAAATTATATGCAATGTTAGAATGTTTGCTGGAGCACTGGACACAAAAATCACGGGAGCGGGCGATAATGGTCAGAAATTCAGTGGGAGCAGGATTAAGAAAACCGCTTATACAAAACCGCACACAATGAATGGCGACTGTAGAAAGCAAAAGCCGAATTCCAGACATTTTGGGCGATTTAGAAATCCCGGCCGGAAGCATTATTTTAAGGTCCAAAAAGAGGACGTATGGTCACCCTACTCTACAGTACACCATGAGTGTGTAACTCACACACCACTCAACTTTATGCTCTGAAATGTGTCATTCAGTGTGCTAACTGGTTGCATTCCCAGCATTGCCACAAGAGCAGCTATAGTGGGTATTAGTATTAACCACCAACATTTTAAAACCTGACAATGGCATTCGAAGGTAAATCTATTGCTTCCTTGAGGTTTATTACAACCACAGCAAGCATTTGCACACTTGTTTAGAGTCTGTTTTCCGTCCCTTACTTGTGTTCTGAGAGCCTAGCTGAAAGCGATCCCAACAATAATCACTTTATTTCCCTCTTAGCCATCATTGTGGAGAATTTCTCTTTGTTCTACTCCACCGAGGAGGACCAGTTGCTAAGCTACAACGACCTGCGTCACTTCCAGATAATTTGGAACATGGTGGATGACAAGCGGGAGGTGAGAAGGAGGAGGGGACGTGCCTGTGATCAGCGGCTGTCAGCGGGGATGATTTTGAGTTAATACCTGTGTGTGCTCTTCGCACCGGCTCTGAAGCCACAAATGAATGAATCACACGCATCGACATTCTCACCTCCAGAGTAATTGGAGGTTATTACTGCCTGTCACAGATAGCGAGAGGTGTTGAGCTGTCATCTTCATTAGGTGGAAACAGCCTTATTGAGAGCAGCAGAGAGAAGTACGTGCAGATTTGACCTCCTCCCGTAGGATCAGTAATATCTGCTCGTGTATATTTGAGTTAAATGAGGCACACCAGTCATTTTCTGGCCTTAATGAATCAACCAGCGGTGCTGGGATCAGCTAGAAACACTTGAGGCCATAAGACTGTAACAGCTGAGCACAGGAAGGACTTTGTGCCTAATTAGACACATGAGCTCTGCTCCAAAATCTAGTGAGCTTCCTTGATGCCTGCTAGCCTTCTAAGACAGCACAAACCTCACAAAGCTGATTTAGAACACTCTACATAGGCAACAACAACAACTTTTCACCTAGCAAGTTTTCATTTCATTTTTAATTTTCATCAGTAAAATAAGTAATAGTAAAATTCTTCGGCAATGAACCACCTCTTGATATTTCAGCCAAAAAAAATTACATATTGCTACTCCAGGATCATTTTTGGTCACTCTGAATCTTACATATTCACCTGTTTTAGCTTATCCAAGTTATGTGCACAAAATAGTTTTTATCAAAAATGTCCAATTAATTCCTGTATGTTTAATGCTAATATATAATGGGGCCATGTATCGTGAGATTTTGAGTGAAAACCTCCTTCCATCAGCAAGGGCATTGAAGATGAAACGTGGCTGGGTCTTTCAGCATGACAATGATCCCAAACACACCGCCCGGGCAACGAAGGAGTGGCTTCGTAAGAAGCATTTCAAGGTGCTGGAGTGGCCTAGCCAGTCTCCCGATCTCAACCCCATAGAAAATCTTTGGAGGGGGTTGAAAATCCGTGTTGCCCAGCGATAGCCCCAAAACATTACTGCTCTAGAGGAGATCTGGATGGAGGAATGGGCCAAAATACCAGCAACTGTGTGTGAAAACCTTGTGAAGACTTACAGCAAACGTTTGACCTCTGTCATTGCCACCAAAGGGTATATAACAAAGTATTGAGATGAAATTTTGTTATTGACCAAATACTTATTTTCCACCATAATTTGCAAATAAATTCTTTAAAAATCCTACAATGTGATTTTCTGGATTTTTTTTTCTCATTTTGTCTCTCATAGTTGAGGTATACCTATGATGAAAATTACAGGCCTCTCTCATCTTTTTAAGTGGGAGAACTTGCACAATTGGTGGCTGACTAAATACTTTTTTTCCCCACTGTATATATATATATATATATATTGACTTCTTCACCATTCATAGTTTATCAGATTTCATTCTAGGATTGCCTGCTCTGCCAAGGATACAATATGATGCTTCCTTAGAATTTAATAAAAAGAATGGGCCTTAAAATGCACTCTAGGTAGGCAGCTCACTAGCTATAGTACAGTGATAGTCTGAGAATTTTCTTAAATAACCCTTTTGCCATTATATATACCAGTATTTATTTACTAGTTTTTTGAAAACAGGGAGTGATACCGACCTCTCGGGTGAAGTTTCTGCTCCGTCTGCTGAGAGGTCGTCTGGAAGTTGACCTGGAAAAAGACAAGCTTCTCTTCAAACACATGTGTTATGAGATGGAGCGTCTGCACAACGGAGGAGATGTCACCTTCCATGATGTACTGAGGTTAGTAAGGAACATTAGTATTCATTACAGCACACTAACAAACAGATGCATATTACGACAAATCAAAATGTCCTAATTTGATATAGAAGAGTTACTATTAAAACTCAAATTTTCCCCATTCTAAAAAGAACAAACCCTGAAAGGGCCAATCCATCGCTAGTGTTGTTCATATTGGCCACTAAGCGTGTTCAGCAGCTTATAGGAAGTCATTGATGGTGTATGTTTCAGCATGCTGTCGTACCGCTCAGTTGATATCCGGAAGAGTCTTCAGCTGGAGGAGCTGTTGGCGCGAGAGCAGCTTGAATACACTATAGAGGAGGAGGTGGCCAAACAAACCATCCGCATGTGGTTAAAGAAGTGCCTCAAACGCATACGAGCAGTGAGTTCACACAAACACACTCCTGACACTTCACTGATATTTACCCCAATAAACTGAAAACAGATCAGCTGTTTGACAGTGACTATATTTACACTACATCTCAACATGGCCCAAATCTGATGGCACTTTAATATGTGGAAATAAATCCATATTGTACATTTTTATTTTTATTTTTGGCTGTGGGTCTTGAACAGTCATGTGGGAATTTATCCAATATTTGTCAGTCTAACTTGACAATGTGACATTAACTTCCTGTCTGAGTTTTTTATTTTTATATTTTTTCTGCTAAATCAAATATACAGATGAAAACATTTTGTATTCTGTAATATTTTTTCCTATATTTTAACTCAATTTTATGATTTGTTTATATACTACACTTTTTTTTTTTTTACATTTTTATCACAGAATAAGGCAGAAAATATATTGTTTAGTTTCTATAGGCTACCGTAATAAATGCTATGTCAGTTAGCACTGCATCATTCAGATTCTTTACCTGGAAATGACTTGAAAAACACACATAAACCATATATAAACCCAGTATTAATGAAACATACACTGCATGAGAGAGTTTAGCGCTCCGTAATGTTCACATCTCCTAATTTCAGATACAAATAAAACACCAGGTCATGCATAGACAATTTTAAAGTTAAATTTACATGTATATTTAGTTTTTTTTCCCGCTGGAGCACCACTCGAGTCTTCCCCTCCCATTTCACTTGATTCCCACGTCTGCTACCTGCGCAGATATCAACAGTGCAACTGGGTTTTAGGTTGCCAGGTTGAGGTCACAAATGAGTTGAAATTTTTATGATGTATCGATTGTGTGAGCAGGATGCGTTTCACACAAGATCTGGCAACTGGACAACCTTGGGATAATATATTAATGTGATCATTCATATAGCGAGGTTTGGGCCACGCAAATTACAGGAGTTTCGCGGGAGAAATAACAAAACGGGAGGGATGCAGGAGATGGGTGTGAAATATGGGAGTGTTGACAGGTATGCTGATATAACTGCTGATATTCAGTTGAGTTGCCTTTATTCTCATTGTTCAATAGAATTAGTCCCGTATCAGTATAGTGGCTGATCTTAGACATGCAGGATGAGCCAAATGAAAACACTGACACCACTTTCCTCCTTCAGAAGCAGCAGCAGTCATGTAGCATCATTCTCAGTCTGAGAGAGAGCCAACAGCAGGACCTCCGGCGCCTGCTCAACCCTCCCAGCATTGAGACCACCGTCCCCAGCGAGGACACCAACGCCCATAACCAAGACAATCCCACTCAGCCAGAGGTAACCCTACCAGTGTCTGTTCTTCAGAGACTCTGTGTGTCTCTGAGTCTTCATTCTAATGAAATGATGTGAAATGATTGACCCAGCAGAGCAGCGGCCTGCAGACCTTACTGAGCCCCACCCTGTCGGACCGCAGCAGATATCGACAGGACTCCGCCGACCGACCCCAGAGGAAGCTGGGACAGTGGCGACTTCCTGCAGGTCAACACCAAACACTCACACTATTAAACATGCTCTTACATTTACAAAAGTATTGCTTTTGTAAAATGATCAATATGGGGTGCTGTGTGTACATTAATGAGGAAAAAAAAATAACTTAAATGATTTTAGCAAATGGCTGCAATATAACAAAGAGTGAAAAATTTAAGAGGGTCTGAATACTTTCCGTACCCACTGTAGCAACATAAGTCATGCTAAGTGTTGCTAAAGGATGTTAGCATAATAATTATACTATACGTTCTTCCCATGTTTCTTTGAATGGTTTTGAAAAAGAACAAAGGCTTGTTTATTGTTTGTTTTTCCACATATTTAGTATTCTGCACAATGACTTGTTTGCGTGGCTGGTTAACCCATGACTCACATCACAGTCTTGTGTTTGTCCCGCAGGGCACACAAGTGTGAAGTCCATGGTGTGTAAGATGAACCCTGTGAGTGATGAGGCCTCCTCGGGGTCTGAATTCAAGAAGTGGTGGACTCGCCAACTGACAGTGGAAAGTGATGAAAGCGGCGATGACCTCATTGATATCTGAAGCAAAACGGCCTGCTAAGTTTTTCAGATTTTCCTCTTAAGAAAGGATCATTCGGCTAAATCTTTTGTATTGGCTTCTTATATGACATAAGCCATGATCCTCTGTTAGCTTTACGTAGGGGAGTCTATGCTGCTTAAAGCATCACCTGCACCCGTTCAAGCCTCCTTTTGCTTATTCAAAGACAATAAATGTCGGTTTCAACCATGTTAATGCTCACCCTACTGTGGTGGAAGATTTTCAGTGAGCATTGTTTTGTCAATGAGAAATATCTTTGATGAAAGAGCAGCTGTAAAGTGTCCTCAGGAAGTTTATGTAATGTAATATAAGAGTCTAATAATCTGAATTCTAGATGTAATGGTTAGGGAATTCACATGCTTTACGTGACGCACCTAACCAAAGCCATAGCGTTCTCCTTGTTTGTCTTTTGTGCCACCATAATATGTCTTCATTACATGGGTGTTTGTAAGATCCACAATTATCTTGTGTTGTAAAACTGGGCTTACACTTTATAAAATGCAACCACTTTCTTACATTATGGCAAGACAGTGAATGTAACTGTATTATGTGTCTACGCGACTGGGATTTTTCCAGATGTTTAATTATTATAATAAAGCTACATATGTAAGTTATAAGATTCATTTAAATAATATATTGAAATAATGTACTTAATATATTTTGCAAACTGAAAATTGCAGCAGTTTATTGCGTGCTTTTAAATTAAAAGTGTCTGTGATACTACCAGAAGTGGTTGTATTGTATATTTTAAGCATTTTAACCTAGGTTAATCGTCAGGAAGATCTGAAAAGAACTATGCACATATAAAGAATAATTACTGGTAGAACAAAGTTAATTATTTACAACAGCTGCAGTGTCCATGTATATTTGATTAAGAGAGTTCAGACATAAACCTACAGGGACAACAGACAAACAGCAGAAGAATGAAGGTTTAGACATGCATCTAAAGAGAGCTCAGAGGTAGTTTTTGCATGCTACTGACAGCACATATAGCATGATGCAAAAGAGAGGACAGCCATTAGAGGTTCAAAGAGTCTATGTCCACAGCTCGATGGGCATGATTCCCTCTTTAGAGTTGAAAGAAGGGAAAAGGTTCTCTTCAGACAGAAAGTACAAGGGAAATTGGACCAGAAAGCCTCGTATCTTCTTCAGTTCGGCGCAGGCCTGTGCTGGGTCTTCTATAGCCATGCAAGGATGTGACATGTATTCTCTCAGAATCTTATAGTTTAGGACTGCTTCAGTGGGCAAACAGCTGAAGACCTGCACAGATAGTCAGTGATGGTGACTATTCCCAATTAAGCATATATATATATATATATATATATATAAATACCAGATCTGCAGCATATTTATCTAATATTGGACTGCAGAATCATTTCAATGACACAAAGGCAGAATCAGAGCACAAGTAAACAGCCGGCTCTATTGACTGAGCCGGTTAATCACATTTCTAAGATCAGTGATAAAAGGAAGCTCTATTCTAAGAATGAATCTAGGGCTATTTAGAGAGTGCGGTGAGGAAGGTCAGTGCTGTGCTCTTTCGGTGGCTCTTACCTTTACTGAGTGATTTATTTACCTTGTCATGCACACTGGCGTTCTTGGCTACAGTCTTCCTTGTAGAAACGGTCACTGATGGGATCACTGATGTCTCCCAGCAAGCCACGTACAAGTCTAAAAAACAGATTGCTTTCACATTCAAAATAACACACTTTGCAATGTAATAGAGCAAAAAATTATGCATTTAGTCAATATTTCAACAGAAAATCAAAAGAAAAAAGAGAGAAATATTTAACAGAGATTTTTTTTAGGACAAAGATATATTTTATGCAGTGTATAATGCAGTACATCTGCATTATTGTCATAAGAATTAACTACACTTTCACAACAAAATTTGAATTTTTCCAATAAAGCAAAAATGAGTGCTATTTAAACTCATTTGATAAAAAAAAAGTGTATTAAATATGTGTTTTAACAGTATTTCGAGTATTTCATTTAAAATTTGAATTTAGTGGCAATTTAGCTGCGCAATCATGAAGTAATGCCACAATGCCATAAAAAGTCATAAAGTAGGCTTAATTTTCTTAATGAAAAATGACAAAATGTATAATAATATGAAGAAATAAAGCCTATTTTATTACTTTTTTTTTCATTGTGTCAAAAATAGTCATAAAATAGGTTGTTTCATGAAAAATATTTCAAAATAGAACAGACATTTGTGAGATTCACCCAATGAATATGAATGATGTATTTCACAGGACTGTAAAATTTCACACTGCAAAGGGAAAACCTGTTGTCATGTAGCTCACGTGTAACAGGAAAGCAGACCTGAAGCACTCCTCCCGTAGAGACAGAGCAAAGCTGCCAGCCTGATAACTCTCTCCATCCATGACAGAGGGCTGGAATTCTGTGTCTTCAACAACCACAGGCATTTCACCATCTCTCTTTCCCAGCATGCTCCTGTCATTGATGTTTGCAGAGCCCAAGCAGATCACAGATAGCTATCAGACACTTTCGCTTTTCCTACTATCATGGTTAATGCCTTTGGGGAGCGTGTTCTGGGTCTATATTGGGGTTTGACCTCTACTGAGAGCTTCAAGGACATATCACTGAACAACACTGAGATGTCTAATTTTTCTTCTTCAAAGCCTATTCATAAGGATAAGAGGATAATTGGAATTGATAAAGACAAACAGGATTTGAGCGACGTTAATGGGATTTTAATAATGCATTTGTGATGATCGAGGAGACAGGCGTGACTTCGCTTTTCATAAACATCTGTTGATGTTTGATATTCTGCACATGTCCGCGCTTAGGTGTTTTGTGTGAGTGCAGTGCCACCTAGTGGCGACTAACAGCTTTACAGCTCGAAGATTTCAAACAACATAATGTGCAATTGCAAGATCATCCTGTGCACAAACCTAACACATAATAATAATAATAATAATAATAATTATATGTATTATGAGTATACTATAATAATAATAAGTTCTAAGTTTACAAGCAATTATTTACTATTATGGATTACCTATCCGTCCAGGGACTATATACAGGTCAATAATACTAATAATAATAATCGTTTTTTTTTTTTACTTACCAAGGCTACCTTTGTATGGTCAAAAATGCAGTAATATTGTGCAATATTATTAATTAAAATTAATAATAATAATACCTTTTTTCTTATTTTTTTTTTTTATAAATCTTGAAATGTAATTTATTCTTGTGATGGCAATGATGAATTTTTTATTTTTACTCCAGTCTTCAGTGTCACGAATCACGATTAATCAAAAATCATTCTAATACACTGATTTCATACTCAAGCAACAAATCTTATTATTATCAATGATGATAATTAAGCAGTTTTTGGTGCTTAATCTTTCAAGACTGTGATATGCTACCATTCAAAAGGTAAGAGTCAATAAACATTTTTTAAATAAACAATAATTCAATTAATTCAGCAAGGATGCATTAAATAATAATCAAACTCCAAATCAAATATCAGAATGATTTCTGTAGGATCTTGTGACGCTAAAGACTGAAGCAATATATATATATATATATGTATATTACATTTAACACATGTAAATATTTACTTAGAATTTAATTTAAAATATTATTTTTTAATATTTTGTATATAAATATGTATTTATTATTAATAATTTTACATTTAAATATGCAGTATTTTTTTCTAAAGATGTCTTATAAAAATAATATAGTCAACTACTAAACTGAATATCAAGCAGGACGCCTCCACCTATGGTGTAGTTATTACACTGCTACTAATGCTTTCAAATGAAATGATAAAGAATAAAATCTCTGAAATTTCCAGAGAACGACCCAATTTTACGTCTCTATATATGTGTGGGCACAGTGTCTGACCAATAATGACAGTGCAGTCATCCACGATCATGAGCTTGCTGTGCACGTAAATGAGTTCAGTGACCAGACGCCCATCCAGGTCAGCATGAGTGCGCAGACCGCAGAAAGAGTTGTACTTGATCCAGCAATCTACCACTGCAGACAAACACAAGTACATACACACATACTTTCTTCATCCTTGTCCTATTATAGAGAATTACAATCATGCAATCCACATTTGATGGACACGATCTTAATGTTACGGCTACAGAGTAGGTTTATACTTCTACATACTAGTCTACTTACTCACACATTTGAGCCTCTCAATAATGGAGTGCTCCCCTCGGCACATTGTCCTGCAATAGAGAAAGAGGGCTTTCATTTCATCTACTTTTGTCTTGCACCAATCATATGTCTTAAATCTTCTTCACCTGACCAATCACATCGCTCGCTGAACCCCAGTGACCACAGCACCCTCAGTGATCCTCTTACTGTATCTAGCCTAGTGTTGAGGGTCCAAGCTGGGGCTGTAATGGTCTCGCTGTAGCCCGTGAGGAGCAGGGTCTGTTGTTTCCACATTACACATGTGTAATTTGCTGCAAGCGGCCGTTCAAGCTGCATTTTTACCCTTAATTGTGGCAATTTGATGATTACCGAAGATGCATGTTTGCAGGGTTATTACCTGTAATTAAAGTGCATGATTGCTTTGATCTTCCCCCCAAAATCAAATCAGTGTTTGGGATCAGTTGTTTTTTTACAACCCTTTTATTTTAGTTTTTACATATAATATGCATGATATTTTATATATTTACTTTAGGGTCGGTAATTGTTTTTAAAAGTAATATATTATGTATTATGTGTGTATATACAGTATATACTATCAGAAATTATTATTATTTAGGAGCAGGTTAATTTATATTACTTTTATATTTATATAAAGTGACATTCAGTATTTGAATGGAAATTTAAATAAAACATAACAAGAAATCTGCCCTGATATATGATAAATAATTTAATAGATTTTAGATGAATAACTGGGTAAATAAAAATTCATAACATTTATTCATGGTTACTGTGCCCCTAAAAAAAAAAAACCTTTTACTCTGCACTGAAGACCAGGCATTGGCCCTATCCCAAATTGTGCAGTTGATGTATTTTTGTGGTCACATATTTTACCTCCATATAGATGAAATGTTTGCTGTTCTGGATGGCTGATACGTAGGCTAAATGAATCGACTCCTCATGGACCTTCGTCCCAATAGACCACTGGCACACAGACCTCAAAACCTTGCTTGTTCAGGGAAAAAGGTTAGAAAATAGATGGTTTCAATTATCACACAACATATTTCTAAATACACTTTAGTGCAAAGTTGGATTCTGAAATGATTCTAGCAATATTGGCAGTTCAAAGCAGGAACCCATGTGGTTTGGTAGTGATATCTCACCTGAACATTAGCCTGTGTTGATTTGCCGCTGTACTCAGCTGGCACCACGGGTGCGGATAGAGACTTGGGCATGAGGCAGGGGTAGCACGTCTCCCCCGACCGCTTCTTCACCAGCTAGCAAATAAAATGAGAGTTGATTGGGATCAGACAGAACGCCCGATGTTGACTCCAAAATCACACCCCTAAAGAGCGCTAATTACTGTGCCACATCCAGATAGCCTGTTGGGCTGACCATCAACCCCTGCCCGGTACCTCCACTCCCCAGAGACAGAGCACTTGTTTGAGGCTGAATA